ATTTTTATATTTTTAGTAAAAACAGGGTTTTGCCATGTTGGCCAGGCTGGTCTCAAACTCCAGACCTCATGACTGCCCACCTCAGCCTCCCAAAATACTGGGATTACAGGCATGAGCCACCATGCCTGGCCCGGCTCCTCTTATTCTAACGGGACCTGGGGCTCAGGAATGGGATCTGTGGTCTCTTCTAGAATCAACACACCAATCAGGACCAAATTAACTACTGCAAAGCTATAGTGGTGTCGATTACAAAGTCACCTGCAAAACGATGTTCTAACTCAGGGCCTGGGGCTGGCAATGGGGGAAGTTGGGGGGTAGGGTGAGGGTCCAAGCTGCGGGCAGGGGTGGGGTAGGGGTCAGAGAGGACTCTTGCACATCATATTTTGAACCAGATATTAGCAGTTTTGACATTTTTTGGCCATACCTTTTGATACACAAAATCTCAAAACCTTCTCATCTGAACTTTGTACCTTGTGCCCTGAAGCACCTGCTCAGCGCCTGGCAAACAGTAAGTGCTCAGTAATGCTTGTGGATGAACAAGGCAGGAAGGCAGACCCAGGATGGGGAGGAGAAACACGTAGTAAAGAGGGAGCCCTCCCCTTTCCTCCAGTTCATGGCCCTGAGGAAAACAGTGTATTCTGGCTGGAATCTTTGTAGACGAGAAAATCAGTAGTGGCCAAGGCTTTTCTAGGACATACCATCTTCAAGGAACCAAGAAAACATCTACTTGAGGATGGGATGTGGAGCTCATAGGACAGCCTGATCCTCCTACGTTGGAGGCTGGGGGGCCTAGGGCCTCTGTGGCGCTGCTTCTGTACATCTGGGAAGATGGAGCGCAGGGGCTTTGATTCTTCGAGGAGTTGAGAGGGGGCGAGAGGGGTGGGCCACACCATAGGCCTGCTGCTGAAGAGCTTTCCTGCTGCCCTGACCAGCCCTGGACTGGTCCTGGCCACTGTTGCCAGCTTCCTGGCCAGCAAAGAGTGAGCAGGAGCCCTACATGGCTCCTACAGTGGGTCCTACAGGACCCTACAGGGGTCCACTGCCTCTCCCTCACCTGTGTGCAGGTACCAGGCTCACCTGGCCAATCCCCACAATTCCAGGCCACTTTCTTTATTCTTTTTTGAGACTGAATCTTGCTCTGTCACCCAGGCTGATGTACAGTGGCGTGATCTCGGCTCACTGCAACCTCCGCCTCCCAGATTCAAGCGATTCTCCTGCCTCAGCCTCCCAAGTAGTTGGGAGTATAGGCATTCACCACCAGGCCCAGCTAGGTTTTGTACTTTTAGTAGAGACGGGTTTTACCATGTTGGCCAGGCTGATCTCAATCTCTTGACCTTGTGATTTGCCCGCCTTGGCCTCCCAAAGTGCTGGGATTACAGGTGTAATCCACTGCACCTGGCAATTCCAGGCCACTTTCATCACTGTGTGGCTGTGAACAAGCCCTGGACCTCTTAAGCATCTGCCCTGCCCCCATATAATTATGAAGTGAGGCTCAAACCTGCTGGCGGATGGGAAAAGGCTTCTGAACAGTGCCTGGCAGGGTGGTGGGAGGGCTGACTCTCAGGTGGGAGGGCTGGGCTGGCTCCCTCTTGCCTCTTACCTCCCAATGCTACAGTCCTTCTTGGCAGCTACTACATGCCAAACATGTCACACAGATCATTCCACTGTGCCCCTACCCTAAACCTCAGAAGGGAGCATTATTGACTCCATTTCGCAAATGAGGACATTGAGGGTCAGAGAGCTTCAACAGCCTGCCCAAAGCCCTGGATCCAATGAGTGGAGAGGCAGGACTGTAGCCAGGACTGCGTGTGGTGCTCTGAA